GAAGGCCTTCTTTCCTTTTACGAAGAAAGATGTTCTATTGTTTCTTCTATCCATTTTATTATTTGACATTTGACATACAGATCTATAATCTATCAGGAATTGTTTTGTGTGTATAGCATTAGGCAGGGTCAAGTTTCACTGTTTGCCTCACATGGATAGCAATCAATTATTCTTCCCCAGTGCCCTAACATGCCAATTTTGTCATAAATTAAGTGGCTAATTATGCAAGCTGGAGTAATATTATGTTCTTTCTCCTTCTTCCTTCCTGTTCTCTGAAAGTGTTTATGTGACATTGGACTTATTTCATCCTTAGAATTTTGGAAAAATTTAGTGGAGAAACCATCCGATTCTGGAGCTTTCCTTGCAGGAAGGCATTCAATTACAAATTGCATTAATGTAACATTTACAGTGTTATTTAGCTTTCCTACTTCTTTTGTCCATTTTCTTTAGTTCTATTTTTCCTTTTTTTGAGAATGTATTCATGTACATTTGCAAATTTATCTTGGTGTAAAACTGTTTGTAATATTCTCTTATTTTTAATTTCAGCCAGATCTGTATTGATGTCCTCTTTTCAATCTAAAATCCGTTTTTTGTGTCCATTTTCTCTATTTCTCTATCCCATTGCAAGAAAATTTTCAATCTTATTAATGTTTTCAAAGATTTTTTTTAAAAGATAAACTTTCTCTTTCCTTCCTATCCCTTTACATTATTTTATTTGTTTTATATTTCAATAACTTATGTTCTTATTATCACTATTGTATCTTTCCTTCTATTTTCGTGGTATTTAGTTTTTGTTCTGTTTCTAATTTCTAGATACTTTTAACACTTGTTGGATTTGTTCTCTTGTGATGCAAATGTTTGAAGTCATACATTTCCATTTCTTAAGAGATCTTTTGTAGTAACATGGATGGAACTGGAGGCCATCATCTCAGGTGATATAACTAAGACACTGAAAGACAAATGCTGCGTGTTCTCACTTATAAGTGGGAGCTAAATAACGTGTACACTTGAGCATAGAGTGTGGAATAATAGACACTGGAGACTCAGAAGGTGGCAAGGTGGGAGGATGGGATGGAATGAAGCACATGAAACGACTTAATCAGTACAATATATATTATTCAGTTGATGTGGACACTAAAAGCCCAGGCATGGCCACAATGCCGTACAGCCACATATTGACCATACTGACACTGCATCTGAACCCCTTCCATTCATACACAAAAGACATTAGTCATGTCCTAAAACTTCTGTTTTCATATTTAGCTTGTCATTAGTTAAAATGTTTGGGTTTTGAATTTATTTTGTGATTTCTTCTTGAATATTAGAGGTGTTTTTTTGTTTTTTGTTTTTTGTTTTTAGATGAAGTCTGGCTCTGTTGCCCAGGCTGGAGTGCAGTGGCACGATCTCAGCTCACTGCCAACTCCACCTCCTGGGATGAAGAGATTCTCCTACCTCAGTTTCCCGAGTAGCTGGGATTAAAAGCATGTACCACCACACCCAGCTGATTTTTGTATTTTTAGTAGAGATGGGGTTTCACCATGTTGGCCAGGCTGGTCTTGAACTCCTGACCTCAGTGATCTGCCTGCCTCGGCCTCCCAAAGTGCTGGGATTGCAGGCGTGAGCCACCGCGCCGGGCCTAGAGATGTAATTTTTGACGTGCAAATATATGAGCACTGTTTTTGCTGCTTTTTAAATATTTGCACGTTATATCTTTTTCTTTTCTATCCCTTGACATTTAATGTTTCAGAATCCTTATGTTTTACTGTTTTCAGAAATCTTAGTTTTTAAAATATTCTGTTAATCATTTTTCATATAAATTTACATTAAATGAGTCTTTTAAAATTTATTTTAATTAAACAAGGTTTATTTTCATATGTGCTTTTATATCTACTGTCTCAGAACTTTCTACTTGCCCTATTTTTCCTATTTTACCCCTTTTTTTCATCTTTGGAGTTGACTTTTTATGATTTTATCTTTCTGTCTTTACTGGTTTGGAAATTATCTATCCCACTAATATTCTTTCAGGGGTTACCTTTGAGGTTACAACTGGCAAGGTAGGTTTATCAGTATACAATATTAAATACTATTTTACCCCTCCCATTTTTACTTGCCTTTTTAGTTATTCTTTATTCTTTCCTTTATCTGTAAGCATTCTGAGTCTGTCAATGTTTAATTCTTTTCATTTTAATTTTTTTTCCTAAAAATATCCTTAACTCCCTTTCATTATTACAGGAATTTTGGGGGGCAGTTATTTTATTTGAGCATGTTAACTGTGTTATTTCATTATCTCTGGACTTCAGTTGCTGCTTTTTGAAGGTAGTACATATTTTTACCTCTATTTGGTCTTTATTTTATAGGTGTTTTACTATGATACACACCTAGGAAAGTTTTATGTATGCTACTCAGGCTTTGCAAAGATTTCTGTTTCATTTCTACAACAGTTGGATTGATTATGGGTAATTTAGAGATAGCGAGATTCACCTTTTTTAGACATACAAATCTGTGCATCTACAGAGACATGAACCCTCCCGGTTGTCTATAACAACACATGTCCTTCTGAACTTCATCTGCTGCCATTATGCCCGGCCTTCAGCAACCACTCAACTGTTTTCTGTCTCCACAGCTTTGCTTTTTCCCAAATGTCACATAAGCAGGATCACACTTAGTCTTTTGACTTTTTTTTTTTTTTTTTTTTACCTCAATGCAATGTTTTAGCCATCCCTTCTGATGCTCGTTACAGTTGATCACTCTTATTTATTGCAGACTTCATCCATGTGCTAGTTTGGCCTGTGAGATGCTGGTGAGCTCACCTCCAGGCACTCACGGACTCCCCACCCATTGAGTGTGGCCTGGATTTAGTGACTCCATCAAATGTGACAGAGTGCTGGGGTGTCACTTTCAAGACTGGGTTATGTGAAGACTGCAGCCTCCATCTGGGGTGCTGTCTCTTGGATTGCTTGCTCAGGGGTGTGGGGAGAGCTGCCGTGCTGGGAGGCTGCCCTGTGGAGAGGCCCATGTGAGTTGACTTGGATGTGAACCTTCTGCGGCCTGCCAATAGCCATCTGAGTGACCATGAAAATGGATCAGCCTTCAAGATGACTGTGGTCTTGGCTGACAGCTTGATTGCTGTCTCACAAGGGACCTTAAACCAAAGGCACCCTGCTAAGCCACACACAGCTTCCTGGCCCACAGAAACTATGAAATAATAACCATTTCTTACATAAGCCTCCAAGTGTTGGGAGTAATATTTTGCACAGTGATGGATCACTAATACAAGCCAGTCACCAGTTGAAAGACACTGAATTTATTTCCAGTTTTATGTGATTATGAATAATGTCACCATATGCATTTGCATACAGGTGTTTATGTGAACACTGATGTCATTTCTCTTGGGAAGATACTGAGGAGTCAGACTGCTGGATCTCATGAAGAATGTATGTTGAACGTTATAAAAATCTGCCAACTTAAATCCATTTCCTGATGCTCTTTCGTCAGTGTTGGGAGAGGCTCTAACATTTCTCACCCAGTCTTTCTTCTGCTCATGCACTTCCTCTTCTTTCCCTAAGACTTCAGTCATCCTTCTCATTGTCCTTTATATCTCTAAACCATTGTCCAGAGTTTCCATTCTTCTGTTTTGCTTCAGTCTGTTTCGTTCTGGAGATTTTCTGAGTTATCTTCCACTTCCCCAGTTATTTTTTGTTTTGTTTTGTTTTTCAACAACTATATCTAACTAAGTTTAACTTTATCCTCTGTTGTACTCAATTTTATTACAGCATTTTCCAATTCAGAATTTCCATTTGATGATTTCCTTATAGTTTCCCATTTCTGCTGAAATTCTCATTTTATTTTGTGGGGGGCTCAGTAAACATACTTATTTTAAGGCATGTGTCTTTGAATTCCAATCTTTTGAATCCCTGTGGACATATTGCAATTGACATATGTCTTGGCTTGTAATTTTTCAACTTATTTTGTGTGCTCCTATGCCTGGTTATTTCTAACTGTGTTGGACTTTGCATTTGAAAAGTGGTTTCTAAGAATGTTTTGAAGCCTGGTATGCTATTACTACCCTTTGGGGTAGATTTACACGTGTTTCTCCCAGGTACCTGTAGGCCTGGTTGCTTCTGGGCAACTCAACATGGCTCTTGGTTCTGGTTCACTCTGACTCTTGGGAAGAACACTTGAAGGCCCCACCCCAAGGCCTTGGTGGGGCCATGACTCAGTTTCTTGCCCTGTGATCTGAGAAGGCAGTCAGAAGCACAACTCGACTTCTTAGCTGCCTTCTCCGAACAATGTGGGTACCCCTTTGTCCCCATGAGCCAAGCCTCAAGTGTGGGCTTCCTTGCTTCAGCTCACCTTGCACCCCACTCCCAGGTCTTCAGCTGCTTCCCAGCATTTCAGCATCGTGATGGTTCTCCCATGCCTCTAATTAGACTAAACAAACATGTTTTTTTCCAACCATGCAGGAGCCTCTCAGGAATAGTTGGTCTGAATCTTCCCATCCGTTATTCCCAGAAGCCTTTGTCTTCTTTTATTTGTGAGAGAAAATACTTGCATGATCCTCAGCTTTTGTACCTGCAACCAAGCCACTTTCTAAATGTGGCACTCATTGATGTACGTAAAATACCTGAAGCCAGTCTGGCACTTATCATTTCTTTAATATTATTTTCCTTCACATTTCTTAGTTTCCAGAATAATTTTTTAATTAAAAATATTGGTAGATAATCCATTGCCGCCTTCTGCTCAGTATACTAATTTTAGACCAATTAGATTAATACTCCATAAAATTTCAGAAAAGTCAACAAAGAGTGAATACAATTCCAATTCTTTAACTAAAGCAATCATATGCTGACAACAATACCTGCAGGAGAGTTTCATGGTTTATTTTCTATTTTCCAGTTCTTAACCCTTCTTCATTTTCATATTTTAAATCCATTCCTCCTAGAAAGTTGATACAGCCTAAAACTTCTATCCATTTACTTCTGAGTTTAAAAAGTGCTTACCATTTGAGATGGAATTTCCATTTTCAGCAGTTATAGCACTAGATAGTGAATTAGATAACTGAATTCCATGGTTATTTGCATTTCTATCTTGAGTCTCGGAAGTAATTTCTGATGTACTAGGGTCATCCCGACTACTTAGGTTCATGTTAGTTTCAAAACCTAAAATAAATTTTAGAAAATATAATTATTTTCTGATAACATGTACTGAATACACTGAATAAAACATTTGGAGAAAATAATAAAACATCAAATCAAACATTCATGACATTTAAAATAATAATTTTTAATCAAATTTGTGGCCTATATAATATTCACCAAATTTTGCCACAACACTGTTAAACAAAAGGGAAAGTGTTAAGTGGTACAAATAATTTGTTGCATTCAACCCTATTTATAAAGAATTTTTGATGTCACAGATCAAATAACTTGTCATTATAGTATTGCCTATCATGAGAAAACAATGAGTTCATGTTTCAGGAGTTTTCTGAATCATTAAATTTAAATAAATTTAGGCAATCTTATAGCTTTGGAAAAAATAAGAAACACTTGAGTGAAAGAAACACTATGGTGCTATTTTCAACATCACTATAAACATTTTTAGTGTCCATATTGGAATACTAAACTTCAATACTCAACTTCTGCATTCTGCACACTAAGATAATTACTTAAATATGCAATGCATGTCCTATATTAAGTGTTTTGAGAGGTGGGAACACAGAAGCCACTGTCCAAATTCCACTGAAGGGCCTAATGAAGACTTTTAAAAGTGACGTAGTATTAATAAAGCAAAACACAGCAAATGCTTGCTCTTTGGAGCAATATCTAACGGAGGTAGGTTTCCCCATGGTCACTGCATTACCCTTAGGCACACAATCAGACTTTGCAAATCAGGCACGACTGTCCATCAAGGGGTCAGACATCCCCCCATCACCACCTCTGCCAGGTTGCCTTTCTCAGACTGCACAGGTGCACCTGGGATTGGCTCTTGCTTCCCAAGGAACCTCAAAAAAGCTGCAACCTATTGGAGACTTTTGATTCAGCATCAGGGATATGTGTGAGACTGGTTCTTTTCTGTTGGGACACAGTTGATTCTGACTGTCTTAAAGTTAGGCCTTTCTAAAGATTTAGGCTAACAAATTATTTGAACGGGACAACACGCATCATTTGCTTTGTTATACTTTAAATATTGCAGAACAGTGTTTTACCACCCCAATCCCAATCACCAGTACTTCCATAGGCAGACATGTTATCCCTATTTTGCTGAAGAAGGAATTAGGGTTACTCAGTCATGCAGCTGAAAAGAGACAGAATGGAACTTAAACGTGTATGTTCTGATTATTATTCAGTCTTTATTTTTCATTAAAAGAGAAGCTGGATTATGTCTTTTCCATGCTGAAAACTTTTGGATAAACTGCTGTTGGTTACAATCTACAGAAAGAAGGTACGAAGGAGACAAGGAGGGAAGGAGGGAGGAAGACAGGTAAACAATGGAAGGAAGGAAAAAAGGAAAGAAGGGAGGGAGGGATGGAGGGAGAGGGGAGGGAGGGAAGGAAGGAAGGAATGAAGGAAGGAAGGAAGGAAGGAAGAAAGGAAGGAAGGAAGGAAGGAGGGAAGGAAGAAGGAAGAAAGGCAAGCAGGCTCGCTCCAGCTCCCCAGAGCTCATCTCTCAAGGCTGGTCTTGACTTGGTCCTTCCTAACTCCTTCCTTGACATTATCCCCTGTTGCCTCCCAAGACATACCCTCAAATAGCACTACAAGCAATGCATGTTTATCCAAATTCTCCATATTGACTCCTGTTTTCTTGCTTTGGTGCACTCATGCCCTCTCCCGCATCAGCCCAGAGTCTTCCTACCCACCAGTCAGGACCTTGGTCAGATCACCCGCAGGGACCTCTCCTTTACAAGCACAGAACACAGCCTGCTCTGCCCAGAAAGGAAAGCAGGTCAAGATTCATAAGCAGGAAATGCTGGATAGATGGAATAAAGGCAAAACTATCGGCACTTTGAAAACTAGGCAGAAGAGTTTATATTTAAATGATCCAGTGAGCCACTGTGCCTTCTGACTCCATTATACATAAAAAACAAAGACCTTCAGTCAAGTTAGCATGTACAAGAATGGCAACAAAAGTGAAAGTCAGGTGATCTTAACTGTTCTAGCTCTTGATGATGAGCAATTGTTGAACGGGCTGAAACTGAAAGAATACTTATTCAATGTGGTCAACTCTAGTTTGGCTTTTTTTTTTTTTTCTTTTTTTTTCTTAAGTTTCTGAATGCCAGTAAAACAGGTTTTGTTTTAAAACTGGCTCAAGATGTACTCACCTGCTTTTATGTTTCCTTCACCTATTTTATTTTTGCATTCTTTAATTCACTTATTTATTGGGTGCCTACTATGTGCAAGATACTCACTGAGCGTGGGAGATACATAATGAATACCACTGCCTGGTACCTGGGAGCTTCTCTCCCAAAAAGGTAATTGGCAATAAACAAGCAGATGCACAAGCAGATAATTAAACATGGTGGACTGAGAGCTGCGTGGAAAACCTAGTAAGTGGAAAACACTGGTGGGCAGCCAGGCAAGGTGGGTGAGGTCCATGAGGTCGCATTTCAGCTCATGGTTTTAGAAAGGCAACCTCCACACCATGCGTAAATACCCCAAGGCAGGAAAGAGCTCACCATTTTCAAGGAACCCGGTACTAATGAGTCAGGGCCTGGGAAACCACCAGAGAGGAACTGAGAGGTTTTATTCTCAGCGCAGTGAGGGCTTCCCCCAAGGCTTTGAATGAGGACAGTCCTCTTACACCTGGTGGCAATAAGCGAATCCTCTGAGACACTTGCTGACTCTCGGTTTGAATACTTCCGGCTGGCCTCCCTCACGACTGATTTCTATCTCATCAACTGATGTATTTAAATTATAGCCAAAATTCTCATTTTTGTGATTAAAGTTTAAAAGTATTTCTGTTTTTCAATTGGCAGGTCAAACTGTAGCCAAGATACGTTTTTGGGGTTTTTTTATTTCGTTTCTTGAGACAGTGTCTCTCACTCTGCCGCCCAGGCTGGAGTGCTGTGGCACGATCTCGACTTACTGCAACCTCTGCGTTCTAGGATATTCTCCTGCCTCAGCCTCCAGAGTAGCTGTGATTACACGTGCATGCCACCATGCCTGGCTAATTTTTGTATTTTTTAGAAGAGAGCAGGTTTCACCATGTTGGTCAGGTTGGTCTGGAACTTCAAGTGATCTTCCTTCCTTGGCCTCCCATAGTGCTGGGATTTCAGATATGAGCCACTGTGCTCAGCCACCATGATATTCTTTTAAATGGTCATATAGGTTAGGCTTAAATCCTTGAATTATCTGCTAAATTTTAATTTTTTTAATCTTAATTTATAATTATTTTAATTTTTTAAATCTTAAAAACATTTATCTACTTAAGGCTGGCTCTGGATGGGAATAAAGGAGTAGGCCCTTCTTAACGTAAGGTGTAAGAATTAATGGTCAGCATGACACTTCCTCACATTGCTCTTACAATAGTTACCATCACCCGGGTGCATATTAGGTGCCAATTCCGTGCTAGATGTGGTGCTTGGTTTAGCTCTGTTCTCATGACAATTCTGAAGAGTTGTCACTATTATGCCTATTTTTGAGATAAGGTCATTGAGGCTTGGGGAGGTTAATCTCCATGTAAACAGTTCACAACCCACGGCATGGCAGCCGGATTCAGACTGAGGCCCAGAGGGCTCAGCAGTCCCCCAACACTCATTCTTTTACTCTTGGTTCCTCTATGTAAAGTTTTCCTTCACTGTTTCATTTGCTGATATAAAGGACAGGATATGACAGCTTCTTTCCTGTGATGAGTTAACCACCCAGGCCTCAGTGGTAATGATCTGAAAACTGTAGGCTGCAAAGCTGCACTCTGGCAGCTGCAATAGTGCTGCGGCTTCAGTATGACATCCCCACTTTGGGGTTCTCCTCTGCTTGCAGTAGCCAGGGCATTCTACTGAATTATGCATCAGCCTCTGCTCATAAACACCCTTCTCCCAGTTAGATCCAAACACGTGAAAGCAGCCGTGCCCTGACTTGTTAATTTCTAGATTCAACACATTGAGGATCGAATGCAGAAACTCCGGATGGTTGGGTTCTCCTGTAAAGTGGTAGCTTGCACACAAAATTCCTTGTCAAAAGCACTCCCATTACCCAGCACTTCGGCATTGAGGGAATTACAACAATCAGAAATCAAGAGGACAATGGCATTAAGTCTGAAGAGGTCTTTGTTAAAAGTGCATATACATGATGTATGCTTTCAGGGGAACTTTAGAAATAATACGGTGCAAACAATGTCATCAAGCCTTTTCATGCCTTCAAGCAGTGGCTAGCAGAGTTCTGAGAATGATGAAAAGTCACATCGAAAGAAAATATTTGAAACTCTCAGTGAATTTAGGGAAACAATAGGGAAGTGAATACTGTAAATCCTGTATAATATTTAAAGGTGTGTCTGGGACATTTTTGTGCCTCTGCATCTGGTGAAGTAAGGGGTTGTGTAGTTCAGTGGCATCCTGTGGTTGGGTCCATGGTAACACGGGTTGGTTTGGATATCTGTAGTGTATTCTTTTAGCCTGTTAACAAGATTTCTCTATGATCTCGGGCTTGGTGCTGTTTTTACAGGTACAAGAGAATTGAATCACATCAGGATCTGACTCAAAAATAAAGTCTTGGCCTTCGCATTAGGATATGATTATTAACTACAAGTATGCAGTGTAGGTACATTTACGTTGAATTTTAATCTAGTGAGAGCAAATCTCTAAATGTTAATACAAAAAATTTGGTTGTCTTGTGCTAGTTTCTATATAACTGAAATATCACTCCCAGTCAATGTGATTCTGTTTTAAACTGTGGCTCTTGATAGGAGGGGCTTTCTGACCCCCAGGGGACGTTCAGCAATGTCTGGAGACATTTTTAGTTGTCACAACTGGGCGAGGGGTGTGCTCCTGGCGTCTGGTGAGCAGAGGCCAGAAATGCTGCAAAACATCCTGTAGTGCACAGGCTAGTCCCCAGCCTAGAATTATGGTATCCAGCTCAGAATGTCAATTGTGCTGAGGCCGAGAAACCTTGCTTTAAACATAAGTCGGATCATGTCATTTCCAACTGCAGCCTCTCTGCTGGTTTCT